GTTTTTAGCCGTTGATAAAATGTTCAAATGGAGCTTCATTTTCTTGCAGATCTCAATCATTTTTAAAAATTTTCTATTGTTGAAATTAAAATATTTTGAGGAATGCTACGACAAACATTAGTTATTCGATTTTTTATGTCTCCTGCAGATGTCGGCGGAGTTTTGTAAACAATATTTTTTATGTAGCCCCACAAAAAAAATCACATGAAGTTAAATCAGGAGACCGTGGAGGCCATCAAATATATTCATACTTCCCTATCCATCTTTCATGAAAGATGGATTATTGACTGCGTTCAGCAGAGAAAGCAAATCAGTGAGCGCTCAGTGATTTTTCAATATGATTGGTCCTTGCCTTTAGATCTTCGTTGAATGTAAGTGTAGAAACCAATCATAATAAAGAATCACTGAACGCTCTCTGATCTGCTTTCTCTGCTGAATGCAGTCATTGAGGTATTCCGTCACAATACGATGAGAATGGGGTGGCGTACCATTTTGCTGCCACCACATGTTTTATCGAATAGCAAGATTAACCTTTTCTAAAAGCTCAAGCAATTTATTCTGCAAGAAAGAAAGGTAACTTTTCCCATTTAAGCGATTATCAAAAAAGTATGGATCAATTAAATATCCATTTACAATTCCGAACCAAGTATTTAAATTCCAATGATATTGATTATCAACACGTTGAGTCCAGTGAGGATTATATGTGGATCAATAATGACAGTTATGCCTATTGAGTTGTTCATTGTTATGAAATGAAGCTTCGTCACTGAAGAGAACATACTAGAAAAAAGTTGGATCTTCTCTTATCATTCGTAATGCCCAACAAAATTGTCTTCTTAGTCTCATATCATTTTCACTTATATTGGGTTAAAGTGATATGGTAGAGATGGAATTTATGTCTTTGTAAAATCCTCCACACAATGACATAAGGAATTCCTAAATTACGTTGTAGTTCTCTAGTCGAAATATGAGGATTCAAGTTTTTATCATTGCTAGCACTGCTTATACACGCGGATCATTAATGTCATCTTCAACATTTATTTGCTTGCGGTTTCTCTTGTGGATTCTTCTACGCTCTCGTAATAAAATTCTTCTTATCTGCAATCGAATTGGATGTCGTCTAAACAAATACCTATTACGATACAATCTTTCTGTTCTACAATAATTTCGTCCAGCTTCACCATGCACAAGAATAATATCAACGATTTCATTTGAACTATAAGCAGCCATTTTGAAAAAAGCTTTGAAAAAGCCCACTAATGTAAAAAAATTGAAAGAAAAAAGTATACGAAAAAAAGAGGAAAGTTAAATCGTTCAATTGGGAAGGATTGGACTCAATTCCGTGCGCGTGAGCGTATGTCAAGTAGTGTGGATAGATCGCGGAGACGCGCGCGTGTAAGAATCCTGCTCACACGCGCATGCGATGGATAATGCCGGCAATACTATCACTTTTAAGCTCCATAACTCGAGAAAACGTAACTTTATTATAGTGTTTTGAAAAGCTCTCGAGATAAGCTACAAGAATATGTAATAAAAA